AACCTTTAGCTTTATAAGATATGTCCATCTAATTTTCGTTGGACTTTGATGACAATGGGCAAATGACCAAGACCGCCGTAACGGGTTTTGATAACAGGTGTCAGACGCACGACGCCCAAGTATATGTCGACGAACACCAACTCTATCAATTTCTGCAATATATACTTCATCCTCTGAAGAGTAATGGTAGAGTCTCGAGCAACTCCAGTTCAATTGCATTCCTTCATGCGCCTCGAGAATGGTGGTTTACAGCCATACCAGACACGTCGCAAAGCTAAGACACCCTAAAGCTCCCTGTTTATGTGGAAACACCAAGCGATTGTCCCGTACGGATGTGATTAGTATAGCTGCTGGAGCTTCTGATGATATTGTGCTGTTGAAACGGGAAAAACTCATTAAACCAATTTCCCAATTTTGAACTATTTTTTAATTTTTAAGTTACATTCAATTTAAGACGACAACACTGGGCATCGTACAATGGACGTGATCTGATTCAGGCAGCTGAAATTCTTCACACTGTGATAATAGACATTGAAAATAATCGTTCAACGTAAAAAAAACAAGTGTCTCATTCCTGCTTCGGAAATGGATCACGGCATTTGATGCTGTGATAGAAGATGTAGACAGTCAGAAATCGGAATCTAAATAAAGTTGCGGATTCTACGCACCCTAAATCGATGTTATGACATCAAAGACAGTATTCACTCCCATTAAGCTAGGAAACAGATAAATCTCGTCGCAGATCTTCGACAAGGTTTTCTAGTGGAGACTACAAGTGAGCTTAAAGAGCACGAAAGGCATGAACGAATTTCCCTCGAAAATAGTACATCTCGTTTTTGATTCAAACCTCTATTTTTGATTTGGTTCTCAGACCGTAAATAATGGCTTCAACGCATTTACATAGAGTGTTCCGCGATCTCGAAGTGCATGAGAGGAATCGCTATCATATCAGGCTCGTAATTTTTGTTTTCAACGTGTTTGCGACCAGTCTTAGTTTTCAGCACATTGCTCCGTACCAGGAAGCCTTCATGGATAGCTTACTAGGTTCGTTCCCAATGTGGATATAAGCGAGCTGTGTACACAAACACCATACATAAGTCCATGCACGAGGCATTAGTAGTCACAAAACCACATCCTGTCCTTCAAGAGGGCAGAAAAAAGGATTTATATCTTGAATCCACCTGCACCTTAAGATAGTAAATGGCTGTTTTAAATCCAGATGCAAACTATTTCATAGATCTGCTATCATTTGGCTCGAATTCCATCAAACAGGAATCTGTAGGTTAGAAAAGCACATTGAGATCAGTAGAGTAGAAAGTTGTGAGTTGATCGAATTCCTAAGGCGATCCACAATTATAGCACAACTGGTTGAAAAAATTTTTTAACATGGTTGAATCGTGTATGCATTTGCTCAATGTAGAGCAAATGGTACTAAGGGTTGCTAGCACTCAAAAAAGATGGAAAGAAAATGAAGAGTAAAAGGGGGGATGTAGAAATTTGTAAAGGAAAGTATGCACCACGTGAGAATGAAATGTTTATTTCTTAATTACAGAGGCGAAGAAGAAGAATGTACGAGTATATACACTTTCTCAGGGAAAAACAGTAATTTATTCAGAACGAAGACAACTCTACAGCGAACTAAATCGAGCACACCTTCTGCAGTATACATTTCTGGAAGACCCANTAATTTATTCAGAACGAAGACAACTCTACAGCGAACTAAATCGAGCACACCTTCTGCAGTATACATTTCTGGAAGACCCATTGTACGTATTGCTTACAAACAGCGAACGGTGTGTATCTCATGCAATCAAATGTAGAGGCCTGAGCCACCATTGAGGTTGATTCGTTTTTTGATGCCTTATTTGAGAGCGGAACAGTTTCTCTGAGCTTCTTGCAATCGATAGATAACTACATGGGACGTCTGTTGATACTGATTGTTCGTTGGTAATCGTTGGTTTCTCTCCAAAATATTCATCCCGCGCAACCGTGAGCAATCGACTTATTTTATTTCTGATGTGAAGAAAACGAAGGAGCCCGAATTGTTGGTCGAGCAATGCTTTATCCAGTTGGTGTTGGCTTATCAATGAAGGGATACATATTCGTTGGTGATGTTGAGTATAAAGGAAAATCAGTTTTTAATATAAAGGCTAAGTCGTACACAGAGGTGAGCATTTGTGAATGAAAATATGCCGAACGATTGCTCAAAAAATCATCTTTGTAAGCTCAATATAGAAGGCATTATCGTTTTTATAATTGCTCGTAATAATGTGCAGTGAGCACAGGACTCTAGAGGCTTACGTTACATACTTATGGAGAGCTCGTATAAATTGGGAATAAGGACCAATCAATAGGTGCAAAAATAGCAATACCAATAAATTGGTGGAATTCACTACAATTTTTACCACAGAAGCCGGGGTCACTGCGTTCAGATTTTTCAGGAATCTTCTAAAAGATTTTAGTGTATAAGACGTCCTTTGTGTGGATATCGCCACTCTATGCTTCCTCTGTCGGTTTCTTTTTTTGTTTCGCCTCGTTTTTTTTCCACCCACGTCCATGTTGACATCGTCGTTCTTCTTACTTATAATGAATTTTTTCCTGCTGACCGTTTTAAACCTCTTTTACTGGAAAAAAATTCAATATTATGACTTTGAGTCGTGTTAGCTGAGGTCGGCTTCATTTTCGGCTTGGGCTCGACTAGCCTCTCATTGAAAATCATAGTGAAGAAACTGGAAATGTGGAAGATATTGTGATGCTTTCATGCTTTCCATTGAAAAGCCTAACGAATGTGAATCGGAATGGCATGTTGAAGACTCCGATGACTTCAATGGCTAATGGACCTGCAAAGCAATGCCTTACAATCTCTAGGTCTTCGACCACTGTCAATTTGATACGTATCTAAGAACTTTGCTTCGAGAGTGCGCAAGTCCGTCCTTGGCTCAGGTCCTAGTGCTGAGAAACAACCATCTTATCAAAATCTGTAGGAAAAACAAAAGTGACTTGCTAAACAAGTTACGCACTGGAAAGCAGGTGGAGGACAGTTGATCGCTCAGCACGATTGGGCCTTGGTTCTAGTCATGAATATCAAATTAGGTCTAGAAAATATTGCTTATTTGCAAAACATATACAAATGTATTGTCTGCATCATCACATGCTCTTTGAGAACCGAACCACTCTGTAGAAATCTCCTCAGTGATTTATCACCTCATCATAACAAAAAGCTGCTTTCAATGGTCAAATTTCACTGTTCCGGTAGTGGCATTTCTGTGGTTTTTCACCGGTCACGGTCTTCATTGTGCCAAATTATTCTCTGTCGAACTATACAACGTCGCCTTAATGCTTTACCAACCGACCTCCACTTAACCTCAACGTCAATATTTTCCAACATATTACCCAATCAATGTATTTCTTTCTGTTCAATTCACTGTTCAGTCTTCACGGGGTGGTGAAAATTTTCACTCGGTTAACGTTTCGACGTCTTCGCACTGGTCACTGCGAGGATTAATCGAATCACTACTCTACGAATCACATTACAACGACAGACAGCTCTGGACAATTGACTCAAATCATCGATGCACTGAAGAAGACGAAGACGTTGAAACGGTAGCAGAATAAAGATTTCTACGAATCTTGTATTAACTGAACAACACAAAAAAATACACAACGACATACTTTTTAATAGTCGCTGGTGTTTGTATACCACCTTTAATAGTACGTCGCTTCATTCTGACTGCGATCTTCGGTGTCGAATTAGGATCACCAAACTGTGGATTTATGTCAATAGGGTCACTCGGGCAGAGAATGAGTTTGACAAATGTGATGAGAAACCCAATTAGCAGTAATCCTGTGTCATGGTTAAGCATAAAACTCAAAGCTATGCACTCATCAAAAACGAAAAAAAAGATGTGCAGCTGACAGCATGATGCTTTTTCACTTCGTTGAGGGAGAGTTAATGAATGAGTAGCATTGACTGGTGACGAAAGCTAGTGGAGTTTACCGGTTCCAACTCGAGTTATTGGATAATAAGCGGGACCAAAGTAATGGTTTCATGTACAACATTTGTTTTTGAAAACGTCCCGTTTCTTGCCTCGTACTTTTTCCACTATAGATTCCACCCAATATTGTCTTTAAGTATGCAAAATGCTATCAGGACAGTGACAGCGATTAAAATCCTTTCTGTCATTTTTCTATTTTTTCCGGTCATTGAAGGACAATAACTGTTGCAGTGTCACCACAGCGGTGCTGAAATATTTGCAAAATTTGCACTGCACCTCAGACCAAACCACGATTACCCATTGCAGGGGCTCGCATGCGGGTTACGCGTTACACACTGCACCACTGACCTCAACCCTAGCTGCTCCACCTGCAATCACCCATCATTGAGATTGATTCGGGGAGCACAAATCTGCATTGAGCCCAGTTAAGCTAAGACTGTAGTCGGAATCACAGTGCTGACCTTTTATATACTGCTTACTATAGTTTTTCACGGCATGATACTATATGAAATGGAAGTAAGATGACGCTGGAGGCATTCACATAACTTAGACCCTAAGGCAAATTGGACCTCAATGGTGTAGTGCGTAACACGCGAGCACCCGGAACGGTAGTCCTGGTTCGATCTGGTCTCAGCATCATTCTGGTCGCATTTCACATAATATCCTGCCGTGAAACATTATAGTGGGCAGTGAATAAAATGTCAATATTGTTCCAATGGGGTTAGATCGCAGGGTGATAACTCACCGTTACAACTGAGAGATCATTTATTCAATCAATACCTCGCTTGACAAAATGATGATAAAAGTCATATTTCATAAGGGAAAATCCTACCACAATTCTTTGCGTCGTGTGTGCTTAGATGAATTTAGAGGCTTATAAGCATTCACACATTGTAAGTCTAGTGAATATAGTCATACACAAATCATTAATAAATTCGAAAAAAAGGCTTTGAATTTGTTGTTGTTGTAATAAAACCCAGTGATATGCATGAGATTGTGAGCATTTTAAGTAATAGGAGGTCTCACGTTGTTCATATAAGCCTGATAAGTTTGAAGGTTGCCGGGTGGGTCGTATTTTACGACTACGTAAATCATGTAGAGTGGTACAGATGGCTGACATGGTCCTTTTTTGTTGCCGTCGTGATGAACAACCGAGACTCCAACACCTACCCTTCGTGATTCTTTCCAGATTAGCTGCGTGAAATGACCAGTTTTGTAGTAAGTCATTGGATAAAACCTTAAACAGTTTTATTTAAAATGTTTCACTAGTTTCCCTCCATTACTCAATAATCGATGGTAAATATTTAACGAACTGTATGAATTCTAAATAATCATACGCGAGGTTTGAGTGGCCTGAACGAGCTTTATAGGGGCCTTTAAGGTTCTGATGGTTTGGCTATTTGCTTAAAATCCTTCTTTTAAACCTCGGCCTCGCTCATGAATGAGTTCATGAAAGAGTAATTTGATTAAAAGCATAGATTTAACGGTCCCATGTGTTCACGTAATTTTTTGAGAAAGGTGGAAGAGTTGTATCATCTCACAGCAACATAGCAGCATTTGAATATTAAAGTTACTTTTCTCATACATTGAGAGTTAGTGCAACCCTAATTCTTAATTCTTGTTGCGTTGAAATAAGAATAGAGAAAATAAACTATTTTATGTATTCTCTCTTTGATGAGCTTACACAAGGTTGATAATGTTATTTATTTATATTCGGCTAACGTTTTCGTCTTCCTCAGAGCCGATGATCCGAGTCGATGGTCCATGCTTGTTGTTCGTCTTGACGTTGTAGCTTCGCCTTCGTGTCGAGTCAGGTCTTCCTCAGTGATCCATCTTTTCGAATGAGGCATCCTAACTCAATGATGCCCTTTTATACACGATGCTGATGGTGGATATAATGATAATGTCTGGAAGAAATACAAGTCGTTACCACCGGACATTATCATTATATCCACCATCAACATCGTGGATAAAAGGGCATCACTGAGTGAGGATGCCTCATTCGAGAAGATGGCTCACTGAGAAAGGCCTGACTCGACACAAAGACGAGCCTACAACGTCGAAACGAACAACAAGCATAGATCATCTACTCTGAACTCTGAGGAAGACGAAGACGTCGAAACATTAGCCGAATATAAATAAATATCATTATCAACCTCGTGTAAGCTCATCAAAGAAAGAATACATATTGATTTGTGATACCGAGGTGCATGGAAAGTCAGTTTCGAAATAAACTATTTTACCCTTATCTATCGGACCTTCCCCATACAAGAGATCTCGAGCCGGTTAGTCGTGAGGCTACTTGGCGCGTCTCCAGGTGGCGGATAGGGGGTTAATAGCGGACCAAGAGCGACCTCTGTTTCTTGAGACGCAGGTGGATCTAGCGGATGGACTCAATGGTTCTGCTACGCCGATTTGGCACACACTATCTGTATTTGCTAGGCGTATTCATGCATGCGTGTGTGGTTGCATTCTTGCTCATGTGGATTATATTCTACGAGATAATTCGGCCAAAAGGCTGCAATCAAGTGACTGCGAAGTATACGGAAGGCGGTTAGGAGTCGCCTACAACGAATAAGCTCCATGTCCACTCTGGGAGAGTCTGGTAAGGTACCCGTGAGTATACCCAGCCTTCACGTTCAGAGCCCAGAAAGCTATACGTGGGTATCAAAATGCTAAACACAGTAAAAAGCCGGGCCTCATTCCCCTGAACCCGAAAGAGTCCCGGATTCGCCAGGGTTGTGTAGGACGAGTGCGGAGACGCTATGAAAATCTCAGTGCCAATGGGAGCTGTCTAGATTACAAAAAACTATGGTGACGATCTATCCACACAAATAATGGATGGGTTTCAAAGCTTCGATCTCCATCAACGATCAAAAATCAGAGATGCCGTTCTTTACACCAAACAGTCGAAGATAAGGTGGGTCGGACACGTAATACGGATGAGTGACAACCGATAGGCAAGAGCCGTTAGTGACTGGATTCCTCGGGATTCCAAACGTACTGCAGAAAGACCACCGACCCGATGGTCAGAGTTCTTCACAAAAAGTGTTGAAGAAAGATATGATGCTCGACGAGTTCCTAGAGCGAGCAGAACCCACTAGTCTTCCACGCGACAGGGAAAAATGGAAGATTTACTGGCGCCCGCTTGAGTCACTCGGCGAATCAACGGGACTACAGGTGATGCAGGTGACCCTTATCTATTAATGCTCTAGTGGTAAGAACTTTAAAGACATTTTCAAGATAAGATGAAACGTGAAACTAGTGGACGACAGCATTTAAATGCAGCTACAAGGTCATCAATCACATATTTAGCCCATTGCACTCCGCTGTTGTATTTCGTGGTTGATTCAACCGATTGCGATTAATTTTTCGTCGGCTGCGAACTTTGTGGTTTTTTGGCAATAAAAATGATTTTTCAACAGCTGGAGTGTTCTAGAGATTGTGAACATGAGAGAATTCTATAAACGACTTTGCTCTATCGGGGATGAATGATATCTAAGCTACTTTTTGCCTGATGTTTCTGTCGTCCATAATGCAAATGCAATAGTGTCAGTATTCTCAAAATTTTGAATTATTTTTCAACCTGAAGATTTTGGATAATTTTTCAACCTATGCTGAGCTTATTTCGGTGTCTTTTAAATTCAAGGTTTGAAGCAATAGCCACAGTGATTAAAATAGATTAGCAGTTAGTTGTTAGTTAAGTTACTTGCTAATGAACTTCTTCGAAAATATGTCTTTTGTAAATCATTGAGCGTGGAGAACGGTTTTTCTGATACAGTGCCTATTATTATGATCTGATTTCGATTAGCTATCAAAAAAGTGTGTCTAGGGCAGGAAATAAGAGAAGGCGGATAGCACAGCAGTAGCGTTGTCCGTCATCGCGAGCTACTTCGATTTAGCTCCAGTCCAACCAAGCCTCTCATTCTCCTGGGGTCGCGAAATTGGTACCAGACTTCTCTAGGAAAAAATCACTGTCGGCGATCCAAATAGGAACGCTCCAGCCCGGCTATCTCAAGACTTCAGAGAGAATTTTCGACCAGCATTCTGCGACATTCAAGATAAAACGAAAATTCTCAAGCAGCAACGGAAGCTACACGTAAAAGTTGGAAGATCCTCGTGGGCAATGGATGCATCAAAACGAATTCAATGTGAGAAGTGCTGAGATCCGCACAGTACACGTGAAGACGGGTCATATGAAATAAAATAAAAAGTGAGAATTTTGATAGGATTCTGATTAGTTATCAAAAGAGTGTGCACGGTGCAGCAAGAAAAAAACCTCTTGAATACACTAAACTCATTGTGGATGTTAATATCCATATGAGTATTTTGTCCAATTTGGTGTGAACTTTGTAGTGTCTGTGCGAGATATTATGGGTTAATTAGATAAAAACTATTGAGTCAGGCTTTAAGCGAGCGAATTTTGGGTAGTGTAGAAATGATTAATTTAAAAAATGAGTAATAGAATGCCGCTGCATATGATCAAGTGATAAAACCATTTGCTGCAACGTTACCACTGAAAAGAGAACCACTGACCTTTTGTAATCATATCCCACTCCTTCCACATAGAAGCTATGTGCCACCATATGCGCCATGGTAGTGGGAGTTGGAAAATGTCTCGCTCCAAAAAAGAACAGATTTTCGCCGTACCTGAACAAGCACTGTAGATTAAGAAAAGCATATTCCAATCAAATCCTGTACCTTCGTGGACTTTCATGAGCTAGACAGTCTCTTCTATTGCCCATTACGTTCGCCCATCTCTGAGCGGCACTGTCGAGAGTGGCATCACGTATCAACGAAGGTGAGCCGTGCTTACTACGATAGATGTTGTGATAGGTGATGACCTACAAGAATTTTAAATAGAGGGTTACGGTTAACAAATCACCGAACTTTTGTTTCGATATCACCACAATTTATGTATTACATAATATAATAGTTGCACAGCAATTTTTTACATGACCCATCGGCACACCTACTGTTCTTTACCAGCACTTCTTGCATCCGATTCATTTTCCTCGCATTCGTCGTTCGTTCACAGTGTTCTTCGAATATTTCGCGCGTTCTTCGATTGCTGCTTGACGATATCAACTTCTTTTTGAATGTCGTGGACTGCTTGCCAAGTCGAGTCTCCGTGCAGACTTGGAGATGGCCAAGCTATGGATTTCTCACGTGGAATGTGGGAGAACGGTGAGGCAAAGTCGACCCAGCACCTTGCTTTTCTGATGAGCTATATCAGTAACCGGCAGCAAGGCATAATTTTTAAACTGTTGATAAATGCATCATCTGCATAACTCCAATCGGCTAAGATCGTGAAAAGGGCAGAGGGCAGAGCACGGATCTCAAATAACTTGCGGGTAGTTGTTTCCGAATTCTCTTTGACACCACGTTTGAAAAAAACTCATATTTAGAAGATATGGTGGTCAAAAAGTAGCCGCATCCGCTGTGGTTCTCGCATCGATGCCGATTGAGACAGTGTCGACCGTCCTACGACCTCTGTGCCTTTTCTACGTTGTTGGTGTCGACGCCTATCTTGTTCTCGTTGCTGTACAGTCACAATTCGTAAGAGGCGATGTTTAGTAGTTGCACTCCCTTATATGCGTCCTTCTACTGTCACCTAGTGACGCAACCATCTTTATGTGTTATTAAAGACATAATGAGAAGTCTCTCTAAATATTTCTGGCTTCCTTTGGACGAAAAACTTTGCGCAAGGGTGATTAATGGCCTAATATCCGAATATGGTCGTCCACATATGTTCGAACTCATTATTTTTATCAAAGAAATGGTGCATCAGTTGTACCACTTGTAATCCTACTACTCATCGAATGACTCAAGTCGACGCCAATAAAGCTTTTACTTGCCCTATCATCTTCCAATAGTGTTCGGTGGGTTTTGCAGGATCACTGGATAAGGCGCTCGCCACAGTCGTCTTATAAAGCCATTTATTCATGTTTTCGCCAAAGAAATATCCAAAGGTGGTTGGTTCATTGGGATCGGCAGTGGTGGACCGGACATACTTATGTCTAGAAACAACCCCGCATCGCAACTCGTGTTTTTCCGATTTATTTGGTGCCAATCGTCTCATCAAGTCGACTTACAGGAATAGATTTACCACATTCAATTAAATCCACAACATTTGAAGCATCAGAAACAGAGGATCTGTCCCCTGAATACACTGAGATATCGCCTCGAGGGAAGTGAACAACAACGTCTGTTCTCAGGAGATTTACCAGGAATGTCTCAAATATCGAAACACACAATTTTTATTTGGTTTCTTAAGCATTCCAAAAGCAACAATAAGTGAAATATAAAAGTGGATTTGGTTTTTAAAAAACTGCCAACTGTTTTCTTTTTCTTACACTTGTTTTCATGTGCAGCAAAAATGTTCGCAACAAGTGGTGAAAACTTTACTTATAGAAGTTTTCCTGCAAAGTTTGATTTTTTCTGTTTTTTCTCCTGTAATGTAAAATATTCTCAGTTGCAGCGAAGACGATATTTCAAGAGCGGCTCACAACCATGTCCTTTCTGTTTCACGCTACGAGAAAAAAAGAAGCTACCGCCACTGTTGGAATTTAACAAAAAATAATCGAACATTCTACTATGTTTATAAAATAAAAAATTGTATTTATGAGACACTTGGTTGCTTGAATATTTGGAGTGCCTGTCCTCATGATTGTGCGAGGTCCATCATATTCTCTGAGATTTGCTGGTTTAGCCACTGTGTTTCCCAAGAGTCCAGAGTTCAGTTTGGCCAAAGTCTGTCCCAGGCTGTTGGCACCACAAGCAGTCGCCGCTTTTGTGGATCAGCCGAAAATTTGCCATGATGTGAATAGTTTGGCATCAGGACGGTGGTGGATCTTGGTATTGGCTTACGCTTAGCTAGGCTTTCTGATGGAAATGACGGACTCCTTCTCACCTTGGGAGACCCTGCCGTGGGAATGAATCTTCCCGCTCTACCTCTTGGCCCGACACAAAGAAACGCCTCTCATTCACGATGATGCGGCGAACCATTGAGAAGTAATTATAAAAACTTACCAATTATATAGTATGTAGAACAGCTTACTAGTAATAATGGTATATTTAGAGTGATATAGGAGAACTGAAACTTATGTAATTTTCTTCGTATTTTTGTTGAGCAAACGCGAGGTGTTATTATTCTTTGTTCACGATTATGCTGACGCTTCGGCGGATTTCGCCTTCCTCAGAGCCGCTTCCTATGAGGTTTCCACTAAGTATGTCACGTAGAGACCAACCGCACAGAAATCACATGGAAGTATAATGTATACTTGATCAATGCCGAAGTTAATAGAAAGTCGGTCGTGGCAGTTACTGAAACTTATGTTTTTACCTCTTCACGAAGTCTTCTGATATCGAACTGAGGCGGATCTATTTCATCTAGGATACTTTGCTGAAGTAAGAAACGACGAATTTGATCCATCTAAATCGTCCAGTATTTGATAAAAGAATTAATAGCTTTCTGTAAGGTATATAATAGAACAATTTTTCTTAGAATCGATGATAGGAAAGGCATTGTCCCTGGACCACGATAAATGGAGAAATGAAATCTTTTCTTGAGACATTGTGAACAAGCCTTAGGCTTAGGCTTCCAAAACTTTTCTAAATTGCAACTGCTTCAAGAGAATATGAAAGCAATAATGACGCACTCGATTGATTAAATTTTACAACATTGCAAGAAGCGCGGAAGTAGAAACCGTAAGTAAAGCTTACCGTAGTCAACTTGGACGTCCTTGAAATCACATCCGTTGATTTTTGCGACGACGTTATTGTTATAGCTTTAGCGATTCGGCTCTTCTTCTCGGATTTATTACTAGTAAGTTTTATGCCGATATTTTTGACCATACGAGGAATATCAGGCTTTTTCATTGACTTATTTGTCGTTTTACTTGGATTTTTCCACGGTTTCACCATCGCAGTGATTTTCTTCTCCATTGTCGGTGCTCGACGTGTTGATGTATACGTCGTTCTGTAATGGTTAGTTATGGCAATAGTTAATAGACCACTGCTCTAGTTGAACCGTATGTATAGAAACTTCAGTGAGCGATTCTGTTCCTAAGTCTTCCTACTTCATTTCCCCGTGCTTTAAACATTATGACACTAGCACTCTTATCATTATTATAATCCCTCGTTCCGTAACAAGTCATTTTAAAACATCTTGTTGTTCTAGCGTAAAAGCTCGTCCGGGTTTTCTTTTAGCTAATATTCGCACAATTCGTGTTCAAATACATCTGAGCATACAAATACATAGACAACAGTTACCAAGACAGAATTTCTACATATCTCGACTTTGATGAATAATTCGCTATTTCCTTCATACACACACCCAGGGTCTTATTATGTACTATGTATTCACAGCAACTAACGTTTCGGCGGGTTTCGCCATTTCAGTGTCTGAAAAGATCACGGTAACTGTAGCATAGTCAGTTAAGCATCTCTGTAAGCCCAATAGGAAAATCACAAGAGGTAGGTTCCAATCGTGTTGAAAACAAAGTATTGCACGAGCACTCATCACTCTTTGAGTTTTTGACTGTGTATTAAACGTGTGGATAAACGATGCCATGGGTGAGTGATTAGCCTTTCTATCGCTAAGGTATCAGACTGATGTATTGAGCTGGAGTTGTTAGTTGAACACTTCGGGTTCTGAACGAGCACTGGATGGCTTCTGTATGTTCCCAGGTTCCTTATTATGTCGTCTAATCTGTTCTATAAAAATTATGGTAGTCGGATACTTTACAGTTTGGTCAATTAGATGTATGAAGTGGGGAATCTCAGCTATCAAATTCTTGTGGTGCATTTTTGACTACCATGGATAAATGTGGTGCTTCGCAGTAGTTCGCTGTCCATTAATCGCCCATAAAAAGCTAATTAGGTGACAGCAAGCATTCTTCAATCTCTCTAGATGGTCAGCTTTATCATTTTCTAGGGTGGAACTAGGATTTTTTCACTGCCGACTGTGTACTACTGTGCCAAGTGTTGGACATTGGCGAGAACATAACGTCGCTCAGAAAAATGTTAAAACCGAATACGAAGTCATTTGAAATCGTCAATGGATTGCTCTGATCGCACAACGGCGTTGTTTCTTCAAATTTGTGACGCCTTCTTCACTTTTAGGAAGTAAGGAAGCATGACACACTTGGAATATGCTTCAATATCGTCTCTTTCAAAAATTTTGGCGAATGTAAGAAGCACGGTGATCCCAGCCGTTCCTTGCTCCTGTGTAACCGCTGAAATCCTCAAACGGATTACAGATATTATACACTTAAAATTTATATTCCCAGGCACGTAAGCTTTTGCACTTCGCAAATGGTTACCTTAAAGGAACTCCAACGATCGTCGCTAATGATTGAGTGGCTTTCGGTCTGTTCAATGGTAGTTCTTGCCATGTAGGCTGAGTGACGGTGGTTTCGCCTATGTCTGCTTTGACAAACAATCGCTTATGGTTATCCTGTAAAAATAAATTTAGAAAAAGGTGAAATGTAGACCAAAAAGATTCTTCGCCAATGCTAACATTTGCAAACAACGATGGTGTCACCCGTTATCACTATAATTCGTTTAAAAAACACTGAACAACAATTACATTTGTAAAGCTTGCGCCAAGACATTTTCGTGAAGTCGGCATCAAATCGCAGAACTTCGTGAAGATTGCTTGTGGACTAGAGTCTTGCACTCGTTTTCCTCTTAATATTTAAGAAATTTGCATAACAAAATAGGAGGAATCGTAACTGTTGCGTTAATATAACGTGATAATAAAACAGAAATAATTGCTACACACTTTACAGGTAGATTACACTGGCATCTGTTAATACTGGAGTATTGCGAACGAAGCTCAACATCATGTGGACACCAACAAAATCTGTTAAAAAAGATTCCCGCTTTGAATAAATAAAGCTTGAAATAAATTGCCAATAAGACTGTTTTAAAAAGTGTGTAATGAGTCTACGTATAATAATATACGAGTTTAAACGTTCACCTGAAAACATAGGAATGATCTCGGGTTTGCCACTTGTCGAGTTGTTTGCTTCTAAGTCCTTCGTATTTGGAAACGTTAATTTCAAGAATCGCGTTGACCTGAACATATGCCATGACTTCGCAGCCTGCCTAGAACGAAATCGTTGTTCGAAAATACCACGTCAGTGATGGTAATTAGTGCGACGAATAGTTGATGGTCCCACA